GTTTTATTTATTTTTTTGTTAAGGTTTATTGAAAAGGAAAATATCTTGTGCTCTAATTGACGTTGAAAGATATAATAATGTGAACATTTCAAAATCTGTTGCTTTTGTTAACACTAGAAAATATATTGTCCATTTTTTCTATATTTTAATATCTTTCATCAAATGCTAATGGAGTAGATCCTTTTTAAAATTGTGAATCTTTAGAGAAAAATATGATAGTCTGACAAGTATTTGGACCTAAACTGTTTACAGAGCAACTTGTGTTTGTTCCGAATACAGAATTTATCTGTAGTTTAAGCTGTGTGGTTGGCAGTCATTGACTCGTCGTACTTAAGGAAAGGTTGTAGTAAAGTAGCAGTGATTTGTGTTTTATATACACATATTAGGGTTGGGCATAATCGTACCGTGTGCAATTAATCGTCAGAAAAACATTAATTGATTATTTTTTGGCACTTGACAAATAATATGATTAAGTTCTGTAATTTATTTACCTATCAGCTGATGTCTGTAATTTTGACACAAATTGGAACAGATTTTTATGAAGAGCAAATTTTTCCCACTAAATTGGTCATGTGACTAGGACATAAGTGTGTCTAGGAACTCCAGGGGATTAATTGTCAGATTAATTGTTATCAGCTAAATACCACAATTAATCGTGATTAATTTTTTTTTTTGCCAATATTGCCCAACCCTAACACATATACATACACACGGTTGCTGGCCATTTTATTTGGTACATCTTTCTAGTACAGGGTTGGACCTCTTTTTGTCTTCAGAACTGACATATTCTTTGTGGCATTGATTCATTAAGGTGTTGGAAACACAAGTTTACTTTCTCATGATGAAATCACAGTTGCTGCAGTTTTGTCAGTTGGACATCCACAATATGAATTTCCCATTCCACCACACTCATAGGTGCTGAATTGGATTGAGCTGGTGACTGTGGAGGCTGTTGGAGTCCAGTGAATTGAGACCCATCAGACCAGGCAATGTTTTTCCAATCTTTTATTGTCCAGTTTTGGTGAATTTGTGTGAATTGTAGATCAATTTTGTGTTCTTAACTGACAGGAGAGTCACCCAATGTGGTCTTCTTCTGATGTAGCCAATCTGCTTCAAGGCTGGCTGTGTTGTGTGTTCAGATATGCTTACTCTTGCATGTAAAAAAGTGGTTATTTGGGTTACTGTTTCCTATCATCTTGAACCGGTCTGCCCATTCTCTGATTTCTGACAACAACAGGTCGTTTTTGTGCTCAGTGTTCAGTTTATCTTATTTGGACCATATTAATGTATACACTTTTAAATGTATCAATCTTTTATCTTTTATCACAGCGTTGTGAAAGGTCAGGTTCTTTCTTGTGCCATGCCAATTTTTAATTTTCTTTTCTTTAAAATATGTGTTTCTTAACTATAGAAAAACCAACAATAGCTCTTGCATTTGCCATTTTTGTGTTTAAATGCTTCAAAGCTGAAGGCCTCTTGAGTAACTATAAATATTGAAAGCTCTCCGTTAATGTTTTACACATATATCTCATTGGAGCCTGAAATTGATTTGAAGTTGGCTGAAAGGAGACAAGCGTTTTGAAAAGCAAGCTCAGGAGACGAAAGTAGTTTGAGTTTCTCTTCTTTTTTTTTTTTTCGTGGGGATTAGCTTAACATTCTCTTAATGTAAGATTGATAAAGGCTTGACATATCCTAGTGAGCCCTATCTCTTTCCCTTTTCTTCACTCAAAGTGGTTGAGATATTCAGCTATCGCAGTCTTTCTAGGCACAGCAGTTTTTGTCTTCTTTTTTTTTTTCTTCTTCTTCCAACTAAGCTGAAAATTGACTCATGTGCTTCCCTCAGGGATATATTACCTAAAAACACAACATTTTCCTGGCTTAAAAAAAATCAAGCCATTATTTTCAGACAAACACTTGCAATATGACAAAGAAGAGGCTCCCTCTCTTAATTTTCTTGAAACATTTGCTGACCCTACATTGCTTTGCTCACTTCAGAACAGTAAAAAATCCTGGTGTAAGCATTACATAGAACAAAAGAAAAAATACCACTGGAACATGTACAGGAGTGAGTGAAAATGTACAACATGTTAGGTGTGTTATGATGTTTGACGTATTTATTTTAGAGGAGGTGGTCTTTGAAGACCTAAGTTTTTTTTTTAATTAACATTTTTGGAAAGTAAAAGGACTGGTTTGGTGTCATTAKTGTTGACCCACAAATAAAAACTACCTGTTCTCGGATTGTCTTGTGCCTGGTAGAAGTTTAAACATGCATTTTTGTTTGCTTTGCAGTCGTGCTTCACCATAAAGTGGTCATGTTTTCTGCAAAAACCTCTACTACCTCAGTATTCCCCTGGTAAAAGGTAGTGATGAAGAACGGGTGGATTTCATTTGCCTCAGTCTCTGCTCTGCTTTTTTTGTCCTTTTTTGTGCTGTTGATTTGCCAGTGATTGATGGGATGGTACGATCAGTCATGGTGTTATTTCCACAAAAGSTCTCTAACTGTTCCAGCTTTGCTATGAAAAATGTTTCATTGTTGTTACTGATCAGTTCCATTATGTACTTTCAGTGAACTTAATGAACTGGTTTGTGCTAAATGTGCCAATATGTGTTAGAAGACTCAACAGCAAAGGACTGAGTACACATATTTGAGGGACTCCTGAGCCCTGTTTCATGGACGGTGGCCTTTTACAATAAACTCTTACTATCTATTGTCATATTCATGCAGTCAAAACACATCTTAAATTCAATTCTAAAAGTCACCTTGGTGCTTTTATATTCACACATCAGAGTGCATTAGGAAAATGATTCTGATAAAGGAAGTAATATCTTATCGATAGTTGCTATTTAGCTTTTTCTTTTCAACAAATATCATTAGTAGAAAGAGAAGAGATATTTCATTTGTGCAAATTAGTTTGAATGCTGCCAGTTTCTTCTCTAATCCTTAACTATTAGTCTCATTGGGATGACAAACTAGAAGATGACCTCAGATTTGTTGTCCTGGAACTGTAACTGTAATGTATTGCAGATTATAGAATTGGCAACAGCTTTTTGCTTTTCTGCAGTCTTTCGCCATCTGTGATGAAAAATCAAGACACTTTCAGATGGAGGAGCTTAGCAGAGACAGATTTCTTAGATTTAGTTAATGGGAGGAAAAATACCAGGATAAACAAACAAAATAAAGGTATGCATGCAGTAATTTTTTATCTTAGTTTTCTCATCGTGGAATTGTTTAAAAAATATATAATGGTGGAAATCAATATAATTTTATTAATGTCCAAAGAAGAAATAGGTTGATGATGTATATATGTCCAAAATCTACTAGTAAAAACAGTTGAAAAGATGTCACAAAGAAAAATAAATACTAAACATGTAGTTAAAAAGAACAATTTACCATTTCCAACATGTGACTTTTCATTCTGTTGCCAAGTGTTGGTGTCATCTGAATTAAATGAAATAAATGCTTTTCTGTAACATTTTGTGACATAAATTTGATTATAAACCAGACTCAGTTACATCCGGATTGCCCACAACACAAATCAGAACCGCAGAGGTCCAGTTGTCAGACATACATGTACTTCAGTATAGGTAACTTTTAGGCTGCTCAGCTGTTAAGTGGAATCCATCGAGCTCTTATTCTGATACAAAAACCCCTCAGTCACATAGTAATCTAGATGACTGTGAAAGCATTCATCTGTTGGTTCAGGAGTTTCATGCATGGTAGTGCTGAATGAATTGTGATAAAAGCACTTGATAAATCAACAAACACAATCCTCACTGTGCTACCTATATATATA